GTTGTCCTTTACTTAAAGTACAGATAATTCCCATTAACCCCCCCCCCCAATTTCTCCTATTATTAACAGGTTACATCAGTGTGGTACATTTGTTACAATTTGAACCAATATTGATATATTATAATTTAGTCAGTATTACATTAGGATTCCCTCTTTGTGTTGTACAGTTCTATGAGTTTTGCCGAATGCATAAAGTCATGTATTCACCATTACCAGTATCATACAGAATAGTTTCACTCCCTAAAAATCCTCTGTGCTCTACCATATTCATTCCTCCCCTGTACCTGCCCTGAAACCCTGGCAACCACTGATTTTTTTTTCATTACTTCAGATATTTACCATTTCTTTGTGTTGGGAACACTCAAAATCCTCTCTTATAGCTGATTGAAACTATACAATAAATTTTGTTAATTATAGTCACCCTACAGCGTTATAGAACACTAGATATTATTCCTCCCATCTAGCTGTACTTTTGTATCTGTTAACCTACCTCTCACTATTCCCCCACCCACCTCCCCTTTCCAGCCTGATTTTGAGAGATCTTTGTATATTCTGGATACAAGTCCTTTATCAGGTATATTTGCTTTGCAAATATTTTTCTCCTAGCATGTGTCTTGTTTTTTTCACTTTTTAAGAGTCTTTTGAAGAGCGGAAGTTTTTAATTTTGATGGAATATAGTTTATGAATTTATGGATTGTGGTTTTGGTTTATATCTAAGAATTCTTTGCCCAGCCCAAGGTCACAAAGATTTTCTTCCTCTGTTTTATTCTGGGAATTTCATAGTTTTAGGTTTTACATTTCGGTCTATGATCCATTATGCTAATAATGAAATATCTGAAGAAGAAATAAAGGAGGTAATCTCATTCACAGTAGCTACCAAAAAATGAAATACCTAGGAGTAAATTTAACCAAGGAGGTTGCTATAGATTGGATGCCCCCCAACCTCATTGAGGCTTCATCCCCACTATAACTGTTGAGGGTGGGAAATCCTATTATGGTAATTGCAAGGTGGGGCCTTGAAGAGGTGATTAGATTGTATGACCATGCCTAGTGAATGGGTTAAAAATGGTGGTCGTGGGCATGGTTCTGAGGCCTTTAAAAGGACATTGCATGAGGAACTATCCCTTTCTCTACTTCTACCATCTTCTACCATGTGAGACCCAAAACTATGAAACTGCTAGAAGAAAATGGGAAACACTACACAAAATGGGATTGAGCAGTGCTTTTTTGAACAACACTACAAAGGCACAGGCAACTAAAGTAAAAGTAAAGAAATGGGACTCCATCAAACTAAAAAGCTTATGCACAGTGAAGGATACAACCAACAAAGTGAAGAGACAACCTACAGAAAGTATTTGCAAACTATACATCAGACAAGAGGCTGATATCCAAAATATATAGGGAACTCAACTCAATAGCAAATAAACAAATAACCCAATTGAAAAATGTTCAAAGGACCTGAACAGATATTTCTCAAAAGAAGACATACAGTTGGCCACCAGGCATATGAAAAAATGCTCAACATCACTAATCATCAGGGAAATGTAAATTAAAACCACAATGAGATGTCATTTCACTCCAGTTACAATGGCTATTATCAAAAAGAAAAGAACGGGCCGGCCTGTGGCTCACTCGGGAGAGTGTGGTGCTGATAACACCAAGGCCCCGGGTTCGGATCCCATATAGGGATGGCCGGTTCGCTCATTGGGTGAGTGTGGTGCTGACAAAACCAAGTCAAGGGTTAAGATCCCCTCACCGGTCATCTTTTTAAAAAAAAAAAAAAGAAAAGAACAAAATCTGGCAAGTACGAGGAGAAAAGGGAACTCTCCTACATTGTTGATAGGAATGTAAATTGGTACAACCATTGTGGAAAACAGTATGGAGGTTCCTCAGAGAACTAAAAATTGAAGTACCCTGTGACCAAGAAATCCCATTACTGGGTATATACCCAAAGGAAATGAAATCATTATATTGAGGAGACACCTTGCAAACCCATGTTCATTACAACACTATTCACAGTAGCCAAGAGATGGAGTCAATCTAAATGTCTATCAGCAGATGTTTATGAATGGATTAACTGTGGTATGTATACACAGTGGAATACTATTCAGCTGTAAAAAGAAAGTGAAATCCTGTCATTTGCAGTTCCGATGGATGGATCTGGAGACCATCACACTAAGTGAAGTAAGCCAGTCACAGAAAGAGAAATACCACATGATTTCATTCATATGTGGGATCTAAAAAAAGCAAAAGTGGTTTTCATAGAAGTGGAGAGTAGAATAATGATTACCAGAGACCAGAAAGTGGGGGTGGGAGGGGAAGTAGTGGACTAATGGGTACAAAGCTATGCTATCTACCCTAAATGAATCGATGTATAGTAAATATATGCATGTATTGAAACAACACATTGTACCCCACAAATATATACAAGTAACTGTTTAAAAAAAAAGACAACACTGATTTTATATAAGTAATTGAGTAATTAAAAATTATTATTTTCTTTTCCAAGGGGAGAAAAAAACACTAGAAAAGCCAGAGGACGTAGTATGTAAACACTGTTAAGCATTAACACTAAACTATATAAAACGGGAAATTTAATATTTAGTTTTTTAAAAAATAGAAACATTTGTTTATGTATATACTGGGGGTGGGGAACTATCCTGTGCATTTAGGATGTTTAGCAGCAATCTCTGGCCTTTACCCACTAGATACTAGTAGCATACCACTCCTCCAGTTGTGACATCCAAAAGTGTCTCTAGACATCAGCAAATATTCCCTGGGAGGCAAAATTATCCTTAATTGAGATGGTCATCCTTGGTTGAGAGAACCACTGAGATAGACTTGGATTTGCATTCCTGCTCCAGGGCCATGGTTATGTGAATTTGAACAAGTTAACTAACCCTTAAACTTTAGTTTTCTTTAGTGAGATAATGTGTATATAGTGCTTAGCTCAGCACCTGAAACATAGAGTTCAATAAATGATAGTTGTCATGATGCTAAAACCTTTTTTGTGTTACTCTGCCTCTCTTATCCTCTAATAAGTAAAATGTCCCTTTGTGTAGCCTGTGGTCAAGTTGTTGGATAAGAATTTCTCATCTAAGAGCTTCAAAAGACATTGATTCTTTTATGAAGGCAGTTAGCTAAGACTTCAGTTTTGTTTTCACGCCAGCTACAGATTTGCTTTTCTTCCCCTTGTGTTCTTGTTTGAATTGGGCAGAGTTAGGAGTACATTATTTCATTTGAATCTCCAACTGGCATAGCATATATATGGTGTTCTTTGCATATTCATAACTTCTTAAATTAGACTCAATGTCTTAAAGACTAGTTCATAGGAACCAGACCTATGGAAGTTGGAAAGATAAGGCTAAGGCTTTATTGTTATTTATTGTTATTGTGGTTTTTTGGGTTTTAACCTTGAGGCAACAGCCTATCAAAAATATTTATTTGTTCTTTAGCTTTATTTATTTATTTTTTTTCATAAGAATGATGAAAAACATTAGTAGCCTGTAATTGCTTTGATATACATTACCTCGTTTAAATTTTATTAAAACCTTGGGCTGTGCAAAGGGAATAAAAGTAGAAAAGGAACTCTTTTTTTTTGTGTGTCTTTTTTTCGTGTCCGGCAACGGACCGCAACCCTCAGTGTCGCGCCCGTACCGGACCGGGACCGGCAACAGGATCGTAACCCTCGGTGCTGCGCCCGCACCTTGCTCAGCCAGTGAGCGGGAACCAGTCCATATGTGGGATCCGAACCCTTGGCGGGAGCGCCGCCACGCTTCCCAAGCGGCGCACTGTAGCAGTGCGCCACCGGGCCGGCCCCAAAAAAGTAGAAAAGGAACTCTTGAAGTCTGTAAGTACACAGCAAGATATTATAAGTGCTATGTTAATATTGTTTTCTCATTTATATCTGCAAAGTAAGTAGTATTATACGTGTTTTGGAGGCAAGCAAATGTTGGTTCCTTTGTCCAAGGTCATTCAGGTTTTTATTCCAAAGCTCATGCTATTTTCATAATACTGTGGTACCTCCCAAAAATGAGAGGCATATGCCTCTGCCTTAAATTTCTTCGTCAACTATGTGTCTTCACCTATCTTGTGACCACAAGATAAGAGTGTAATATGTACAACATTGACACTGAGATAAGTCATTTTTTCTGTTGCCGTCAAGGCTAAGCCCAGCTTCTCTGGCTCCCTGTGGCCATCTGTGTTCTTCTGCTGGTCCAGTGCAGTTACATCTGGCTTATGAGTATAAAGTTAGTTTTTAGGCTCACCCTTTTTTAGCTAGGTGAATAAACTTTATTTTTTGATTATGTATATTATCTTTGCTTTTATGTTTTCATGTTGCTCAAGAATGCAGAGGAGTTAAATCTTAAGTCATGAGGTGTATATTTGGCAAGAGCCAAGTAAAAACAGATTTCCCTAAAAATCAAGAGGTCTCTATATCTGATAAGAAAAGCAGTATCAAAACTGCCATATAGTCTGTTTGTCATAATAGACTATAGAGTAAAAGATATTTTTAAGTCTAGAGTTGCCTAAAACTCTGTTGTCTCCATGTAATTTGTATTTTTAGCTGAGAGAAGAAAAGTTACAAGAGGAAAAAACTTCTGAAGATCAAATTCACAAGCTTTTACCAGAGGATACAGAAACAGGGAAAAGGAAAATGGATGAACAGAAAAAAAGAGATGAGCCATTAGTACTGAAAACAAATTTGGAACGTGTAAGTAGATCACCTTTTTGATGGACATCTGCCTCAAAAATCAGCAATTAGCCCAGGTGACATGGATCTGAAAGTCCTGTGTTGGTTTAACTATGAGACCAGTAACAGTCATTGACTGTGCAGCTTAAGAGTAGGGAAGAATATAGCGTCCCAATGGGAACTGGAGTAAATAATTTTTGAATGGGACAGTGAGACTTGTGGAAAGATTAAGGGAACAGTGATGGAAAAAGGTGAGTGAGAGGAAAAACCTAGTATAGTATACCACTTGTGATAAGTTTTACACGTATATTGTCATTTTAACTTATGTATTGTTATTTGACGTTTAAGTTTTGTAGTCTTATATCCTCAATTAGATTTCCTTAAAGCTTGTATTTGACTTACCTTTATTCTTTATAATGCCCTAAGCAGCACAGTGCTGGATATAACGTCTACTCAATATTACATACTTTGTCTAAAAGTAATCTAATTAGAATTCTAATTGGGCCAGATCTTGCCAGATTTTCTTCATTACTTACTTACCAAGTAAATTACCAAAAAAGGTTGTAAGTTGTTTAACTTATATAAGAAAGCACTTCTGGAGGATCCATTAATTACACTCAAATGGATAATTATATTTGAGTTTTATTTTTAATAAGTCATTTTGGATTGTAAATCTTCTAATGGTTGCTGTATGTACTTAACATATCTTTAGAGTTATATCTTTTAAAATATTTTGTGATTCAGGCTTATTAGTATTTCGGGTTATCTTTCTAATTAGCTGGAATTAATAAAGCTTTACCATATATAAAGAAAGGCAACATAGAGTAGAAAAAAAATCTCTGGACCAGAAGTCTACCTCTTGACAGGTACCAACATTGTAGTTGACTGTACAGCTTTGGCCAGCTTATTCAATTTCTCTGTGCTTCTGGTTTAATTTTTGCAAAGACATTTTTCCTGAACTTCAAAAAATAGAAATTTAAAATTTCTTGGGTCAGGAGTATTTGCTGACTGCCACATGTCACCCCGTATTTTGGGCTTCTGATTCCAGTTATAGTAAAAATAATAATAGTAATTGTTTTATTTAATGATTATTAAAAATAACCACTTGCATTTTACAGGGTTTCAACCTTCTAAAAAACTCAGTTTAACAAGCATGAATTGCTTGTGTACTCTTAATGTTCTGTACATTAGGAACCACAAAGGATAAAAGACTGCTACTGGAGAAGAATACAATTTAGCTAGGAAGGCAAGAATAAGATATATGATGGTCTTATGCATATAGTATGTCTTCTGACTAGTAGTCCCAGCTGTGGTCTGTGGTCTCTAAAGACTGCAGCTCTGCCTCTTCACCCCAGCAGTACTGCCCTTTAGGGACCTCAGGCAAAACAACCCAGAAGGACCTTTCTTTTTAGGATAAACCAGTCTTGATAGAGCCACTATGGTCCTTTGATAGAAAGAGCCTGTTGTTCCTGGCCTTGCCAAGTCCAGGTTTCTTCCAGGAACTGATCTCTAATATTAATTCATGTCAAGACTGGGAAATTGCTTTTTTTTTTTTTTTTTTTTTTTTTTTTTTTTTTTTGCCACTACCATCTTTGAAATCAAAATCAAATACATCAACCTAATTTTAATCTTAAGAGGTCTGAAAGTACAAATTCTCAGATTTGTTTATTGATAGTGGCCACTTTTGCAAAATTTTCTATGCAGAAACACATTGAGTAAAATTTGACCAGTGAACATTTCAAGTTTTAGATTTTTTAAAATTTGCCTTTTTTTCTGTTTGCTTTTGTATTTTTAAGGACTTTAGCTAAGGCTACATTCAAATTGAGACCCAAGAGAATCTCAAGTGGACTCAGTGGAAAGCCAGCTGAAAGGTCATATTTTATATAAGGAGTATTATGATTATAGCTAGGCTGATCTTTCACTCTCCTGCCCCCAAAACCTCAATGACTCCCCATTTCCTGTGGAATTAAGTGAGAACTCTTCACCCCAACATTCAGGTTCTTTCTTAATAAGCTTCTTGTTTATCTTTTCATTTTGCTTATACCCCCAAACTCCAGGGAGCAGAGCTCTTTGCTTTGCCCCAAATATATATTCTATGCTGTCGCTCCTTAGGGTCTTTGCTCATCTTGCATTTCATTTCATTAACTACCAGCCAGCTTACCTGTTGAAAGGCTATTTATCTCTCCATGTCCAGTTCAAAAGTTGTCACCTTCATGGAACCTATAGAGATTCCTTACTTGTTTCTCCACTTCCATTATTTACTCTCCCTTCCCCCCACCCACTTTGTAACTTATACAGGATTTATTTCATTCTTCTTTACATTACTTTTGTGTGTGTGTGTGTGTGTGTTTGTATTTCTCTGTTAGATCATAAGTTTGTTGAGAATAGGAAATGCATTTTATCCATTTAAAAATTTCCTGTAGTGCCTTAGACATCACCAAGTGTTTGATACATGTTTGTGAAATTGAATTTGAATGGAGGGAGGAAAGAGCTTACTCCAGAAACAGAGATTATCATCTGTTATTATTTTTTCAGAATAGAAATAAAATGGGCACAATGTTTAATTTATTATGACTTTTTATGGTACAGTTAATCCAATAATAATGTGAATTGTTGGAACACAATTCAATATAGCCATTATAGTTATACTAAAGATTATAAAGCAAAAAATGAAAGATTACTTATCATCCCACAACCTAGAAATAACCCCTATAAACATTTTGGTAAATATCCTTTTAAACTTTTCTAAGTGTGTATATATACACGTTATATATTGTTTTTCTCTTCAGAAAATGCAACCTAGTGTAATACTGTTTAATAACCTGTTTTTAGTTAACTATACATTGTGGATGGCTTCTTATGTAAATAAAGAATCCACATCATTGTCTAGTGGTTTCCTAGTATTCTTGACTGTACAATTTATTTAGCTAATTTATTTAATATCCTCTTGATATTTTCCTATCTTGAACACCACTGTGATGAAATCCACTTGTCTCATTAGTTCCTTAGAATAAAATTAATAGAAGTGGAAAGACCAGGTCAAAGGGAGTGTCCTTTTTTACATTTTTGGTATTTATTACTCAGTTGCCCTCCAGAAAATTTGCATATAATTATACTCCGACCAGTAGTATGTGAGAGTACTAAACTAATATTCTCACGACCTGCCAACTCTGGTTATAATCATTCTTCTAATTGTTTAGGTAGGACATTTATTTTAGATGTCATTTCAGGGATTTCATTTATGCATGCTTTATAATGTTTTAGGAATCGATAGTGCTATAGGCTTATTTTTATCCAAGGCAAAAGATGAGAGGTGAATATTTTGCTATATTATGGTTCTAGGTTTTTGGGGGGTAGAAAAGTAGGGGAGTGGGGTAGCTTTTGTGTAAATAGTTAATTATTTATTTGTAATAATGTAATTTATTTTTCAACTACTAAACTTGGCATATATCTAGTATAAAGCTAAAATTTTTTCTTAAAAAGTTAATAGTATTTAAATTAATACAAATAAAATCTACCTTTTGTTGAGCACTTAACTACTTGTTAGCTAATGTACTAGGTGCTTTTAATGATTTCTCACAATCCATGTGGTAGACAGAGCAATATTTATTTTATAGATAAGGAAACTGAGGCTCAGAAAGATAAAGCGACTAACTCAGTGAGAGTGATAGCGAAGGAATAGAGCTGGGATTTGAATACTCTTTTCCTTGGTACTGGATTGATTATGAAGAGAGGCCTAAATAGACGGAATTGCCATTATGTATGTCCTGTTGAGTCCATTGGTATCAAAACTTTTTTTTCCCTAGAGTTGAGAAGAGAATATCATATAAAATTGGATAATGGGTTAATGCTATTAAATTTTCTCCAATGAGTATTTTGTACAACAGGGTTGTCTTAGGGAGTGATACTCTACAAAACTGAAAGGCCTCTCTGTAAATTGTAACGCCTCAACTTTCTCTCAAAGGCCAACTGTAAGGAAATATAGCCTATTGTTGTGTATGTGTCTGTCAGCCTAGAAAATAACAGAGCATTTAAGGAATATGAGGTACTCTGACCCATGTGATGCCTTGCATGCCTAGGTCTACTCCTCTCACTTTGATAAGCATTTGATCATTAGGTAACTGGTTAATCATTAGATGATTAGACATGTTTTGGTTACTAGCATAAAATAGTATTGGAAATTTTTTAAAAAGATGGTCATTTGTTCTCACAGAGCTTATTGTCTGAAACAGAAGACAGATCCCTAAATAAGAAGCTGTAATTCAGCGTGATTAGTTGCAACCCCTGAAAAGAAAAAGATTCTCATATTGAATTATGAGGCAAAACCTTTCTATATGAGTATTTTGTATGTAAAAGGCATATGTTTATCTAAAAGAAACTTCAAATGTAAATTGACTCTAAAAAGGGACTTCAAAGTAAAATGAAGATAAATGAGTGGGTATAGACAAGATGGAAAAAAACTAACTCCAAGGGAATTTGGAAGTCTTTGCAGAGAAAGTGACACTTAAGATGACTCTGAAAGGCCAATACATATTTTATAGGCAGAGACTGCAGATAGAGAATTTTAGGCAAAGGGAATAGCAAGTCAAAAGAATAGGAGGTTTTGAAAGACTATGGTACATGTGGAGAGTAGAAAATACTTTGTACTAGAGCTCAAGGAGTTTCATGTGTAGGAACTGGTGGGGGAGAAACTATGAAAGAAGGTTGGGTCTAGTTTGTGAAGGTTATTGTATCAGGCTGAGGTTTTTAGACTTTATCCTGATGTCAACAACAGTTAAGCGAGGGAGTGATAGGTTTCTATCTGTGTGTTGGAGTATGGAGTATGGTAGTAAGGAGGGTGTTGGAAGGAAGAAAGCCTGAAGAGAACGAGACAAGTGAGTAGATTATTGCAGTAGTCTAGGCAGAAGATGATGAGAATCTAAGATAAGGCAATGCCAATGAATATCAATGGGGAGAGTTAGATCTGAGAGACATTAGGAGTAGAATAGAATGGAAATAGTACTGGAGACAGTTTGAGACTGATGCCTTGAATTTAAGAATGGGTTTTAGCCATTTATTAACTCTATAATCCTAGACAAATTAATTACTCTGAGCCTCAGTTTGCCATTTGTAAAAGATAATAATTATCCTTGATTTCAATGGGACTGATATAAAGAATAAATGAAATAAAATATTTAGAAGTGTGGGGGTACCCAAAACCTTTATATAAATGTTATGACTTAGAAGTAAGGGAAAGAAAATTGTCGTAGATGTCATTGAAGTTTCTAGATGGTTTGGTGGTGGGGCTTAGAGAAGAGAAATAGTGAATTTGATTTTGGATATATTGAATTTGAGCTACATTGGAGATTGGGATCTCTAGGAGGCAGGTGGAGCCATAGATTGGAACACAGAGAAAGAGAGACTTGAAGCTATAGCTAGGGTAGATTCCATGGGAACCCCAAATGGACAGTGTTGTCTCCCTTTTCTCCCTGCCAGTGTCCTGCACGTCTCTCAGATTCAGAGAATGAAGAACCTTCTCGAGGCCAGATGATACAGACACATCGCTCGGCATTTGTTTCCAAGAACAACTCCTACTCCTTAGCTTTCCTGGCAGGGTAAGAGACTGACACTGAATTCAGTCAGAGTTCTTTCATTTTTGGGGTATGAGACAAAAGGGACTGGTGGAGCAAAAGTATTGTAGCTACTTTGGGGAGGTGGAAGGGGAGAAAAGGGTGAGACCTGGTTTTTAAATATGGATTAGGGAGAAAGTTCTAACTTGAAATTTGTGTGTGTGTGTGTGTGTGTGTGTGTGTGTGTGTGTGTGTGTGTGTGTGTCTGGGGG